AAAATACATCTAAACATCAGGCCATTTCAGATGTCTTCACCGTGACTTATGTGTTCAGAAATGAATACCCTTTCTAAATCCTTTGGGATTTATGTTCTGTCTGATAGTTTAATATATTACATCACCTTTGGCAGAGCAAGGGCAGCATTTCTACAATCGAAGAACGTATGGAACTCAAAACAACTGTCAACTAACTTAAGAGTGAGAGTCTTCAGTACGAACGTCAAGACAGTCCTACTGTACGGAACTGAAACGTGAAGAACTACATCCATCGTCAAGAAGGTACAAGTATTTATAAACAATTGTTTACGCAAAATACTCAACATCCATTGGCCGGAAACTATCAGCAACAGCGTTTTATGGGAGGGGAAGGCCAAAGAACACATTACGTCGGGAAAAAGTAGTCGATAATGAAAAGGATGAATAACAACTGGAAAGTACTGGAAGGGATTGCTGTGGTGTTTAAATAAATCAATGACTTCTTGGTATTGATGGCTGTTGTAATTTTGAATTCTAAATACAATACATTCGCTTGTGCTCCTCTTGTACTTCTTGATTAAATTGCGTTATTCCTGGGATTACTAGTTTATACTACAATTCAAATACTTATGATCACTATATTGGCGTCGCGATTGAGCCTGTAATGGAACGGTGGGATATAAATTCAGGTTTTAATGTTTTTGAGGAGTACATGGAAAGTTTCGAAATCTGGGCTACAACCAAGGAAGACGATGAAGATTTTAATATTGTGGCCCATTTTCGTACATTCATCGGAAAAGAAGCATACAGCCTTATAAAGACTTTGGCACTTCCAGACAAACCGATTTCACTCCCCTATGCAACTCTCAAGCAACTACTGTTGGATCATGTAAAGTATACAAATTCTAAATGCGGTAAGAGAGAAAAATTCGATAAAATGACTCGACAGAAGATCAGAAATTCCACTACTTTACTAAGTCGTCACAGTTTGATGTGTAATCAAAGTTATTCAGATAATACTTCATTGAGCTGTGAAACAGTCCATGATGATGAGCACGAGTTTAGTAAATGCTTGTTCTGCGGCAAGTTTCACCCATGTAATTCATGTATATTTCGTAATTCTAAATGCTTCAAATGTGGTATAACTGGACATACTCAGTCAGTTTGTAATACCATAGTTCATTTTGCTGAAAGTAATGCTAAGATGGATGCTTCTAATGATCAGTTATCTTTATCTAGAAGAGGTATAACGTTATATAACAGTCCAGAGTTGAATGAAACCCAGAGTCATTGGAAGACGAAAATTCCCAACCAACCAACTTATCAGATTTCTCATGTTATTGTATCAGATATGGTTTGTCGTAATAATTCACATACTTCTGATGTAATTTCTTACAACTCTAAGAACAAAATGTTGAATCAGTCGAATCACGAGCAAAAACCGGATTCACTTTTGGTAGATGCTGATTTTTCGAATGATCCATTATTCTCTAATGAAACTCTAATTCAATTTGAGGAAAATATTTCAGAGAAGTCGAATTCTGATATCATATCAAGTGTCAGTGGTCCTCACAATCAATTTATCCTTAATGATATCCCTAATGAATGTGACAAATATGTTCCTAATGAGTCAAATTCTAGTCACATTTGTGAAATTATTGTATCAGATGTTGCATATTCTCACGAACAATGTGTTTCGAGTAGGATCTCTAGGCAGTGGTACGATGAATCAGACGTGAAAGCAAAATTTCCCGAAGCAACCAGAGAACCAGTTTACCCAGAAGTGAAGTTTGCACAGACAGAGAATCCAAATCAAGTTCAAGATTATCCTAATGAATATGAGGCAGATGAATGTTTTCTATTCGATTGTTTCGCAGGTAAATCAAGCCTAGTTGAATCACATGTGTTAATTACATATATCAATGCATATCCATCTGTATATTCTAATATGAATAACAAAAAGTATATGTATCATGATTTTTATTCAAGTCAAAGTCACATGATGGAATACCTCAAATCATATATCAGTGTTTATTCCCAAATACTCACAGTAGTCGATGCGTAAGATTTGAGTTGGTGCTGGTTCCACCGTGCCTTCGGGGCCGGTGCCCGTCATTGTCGAGCTCCCTGCTCATACAAGGCGGGAACTTCCCGAGCCGGTTAGTAAATACGGCCGTACTCACCGACCCTTCACCTCAGTTTGACCGTTTATTTTACGTGCACGATTATCGCACTAACGCTAGGTACCTTGTGGATGCAGGTACCCAAGTTTCTGTCGTACCTATCGGTAACAGTAAGTCTCAAGCTACGATGCTTCGACTACGCGCTGCGGATGATTCAGTCATTCCTAACTATGGTACACGACAACTTACGGTCAATCTGAGCAAACAGCCGTACGAAGCCCCTTTTCACGTGATTTCCCGACACGAAAAGACCTTCAAGGTTGATCGACATGGCCGCTTCGAAGTAGTCAGCATTGTACGTCTCATGCCAACACACGTCGATGACAGTGCCGTACCTGATAAGCCGAGACCCAATGCTAGACCCATCAAATCTTCTAGCGGGATCACTTCAACTACTTCGGATCCCACGCTAGATGCACCTGAGACCTCATTCTCACGTCCCAGTCAACAGCACGTATCATCTGCCCCGTCTACGGACTAGACTTCCGTCTCACGTCCAGACCAGCAGACCACACCGCCCTTGACTGTGGATGAGATTCCGGGCTCACAAGGTTCGAACGAGACTACCGTCTCACGTTCCGGTCGCCGAGTACGCTTACCCGTACGCTTTCGCGACTAACCTCATAACCAGCAGCGGATACAGTATAGGACCTTAAACCTATACTACACGAATGCTACACTCTTCTCTTTTTCTCTCATTTTTTTTGTTTTCCCCGAGCCTACGCCTCCGACCATCGCTGTTACGGTATTGTCGACTTCAGTCAACTTTGGCGAAAGCTGGCCTGATCACCCACGCTCTAGTCAATGCACTCAGTCGACCTCTCTGGCTCCAAATACGTATGGCATACATTTGGTCCCGAACATGGTTATCCTGGTCGCATCTGGTTCCTTGGCTCAATCTGGTTTCGTCCTACGTCTGCAGCGTTTCTGGTCCGGACCTCTACCTCAGATTCTGGATACAAACCATTCTGGTGTAGCATGCTAATCCAAACAATCAATACAGTACGTTCCTTCTGGTACCGTTCTACGTCAAAGACTTTTGGTGGAAACTCGAGGATCAACGATCACTTCCTGTTCTGCCAACGCCTTCGTCCTACAATTGCACGTTTCGCGATCAGTCCCACGAATGAAACCGCTACGTATCGAAAGTGTAAACCCTTTCTAGCGGGGGGCTCCTGTAGTGGCCGGCCAGTCTCGATTAGAACACGATTGGAATAACGGAAACAATTATTATTATTGTAGCCAATTGTACCAGAGATTGTTTTACTGTATTTGTTTAACTGTATCAGTTTCACTTCCGCTTTCGCTCTCCGCCTTGTTTGGTTCGAACTTGCTCACGCACTGCTCATTGTGCTTGTACTCTTTGGCACGTCTCGGTATTATTTCGATACCACGAGATCGCCAATAAATATACTTGATCTGGATTAATAAAGCTTTCTGATTTACGAGCTATTAAAGGAACCAAGTCGTTTTTGGGCGCGTAAACGAATTGTAGTGGTGATCATAGTCCGTCTTCGACTCGACATGCACTACAGAGTTTTGTAGATGATTCATTTCGCTGTGATCAGTATTTTAATTCAGGGTACGGTAAGCTTGTGAAATAAATTGTCTAGGTCTTCGTATTTTTCACCAATCCAAAAATACATTTCAACTTGTGTTTTACCCCTCTTGTCTACAAATTATATTTTCGGTTTTCTAATATCGCTGACCCTTTCACATCCCGACGATCTATTGACATGAATATTATCCTTACAGATATGAAGCTACTAGCAGAATGGTCGAGCGTTAGGTGTACAGCGAAAACATGCCACTAGTACATAGTAAGTCGTAGTGGATTCCAATTCACTAATAAATGCTTTGTACGTTGGACTTAGTACCTTCTTTTACAAAAACAACGTGATCTGGATGTTGTAATCAATTACAGTTGTTGACATAATGTTGAGTATCTACAAAGAAATCTGTCACTTAAAACCAGACGATTTATGACTTAAATCATGTTATTTTTTCATTTTTCAAATCCAGCCCATTAACCATAGGGACTCAGAACTCACATATAAAGACAAAGATTGTTTACAATCCGTTACATTCCATCGTCATATAGTCGGACTCTTTGCCTCAAAATTTACGAGAGTCTTCTGTGGTCAATCTATGCAACCAGTAGAGGCCTTCTAACCTTCCATTCTTTCTAAAATGAAATCATTAACTGTAAAGACAGTGCAATGGAGCAAGTATCAAAATAATGATACAGTTATTGCAAAAAGTGCAAAGAAAGTTGGTAATACACACGACTATAAGTATTAACAAGCAAAATGCATAGAAAGTTTTGAGTTTTGATCTGGTAATCCTTACGTATAAGAAATAAGCAATAATTCTAAATATAATAGATATAATCAAAGATAATGGGTATCCGGAATAATCACGTCCTGAACGTATCAGTACGATCTGTTGACGTACATTACATATATGCTAGATGTCTGTTGTCGCTACAGAGGATAGGTAAAAACAACAGGTGTGTATTTAACATGGAAAATAAGTATCATGTGAACAGATAACAGAGCAGTAACTGAAGATCGATGAAAAAGTTGAATAGCAACTCTCCAATCAGTAAAAGCGATTGTACAGGCTGTGTGCGACTGCGAAAATTGCTCATATTAACAAAAATTACTTACAAAATACATTTATATTTACAATCACGAAGGAAGTAAAATTCTTATAAGCTGTTAAAGACAAAAACAGCAAGGAGACGGTAAAGACAATAAAGATGAATTTCGCACACCACCAGAAATGATATTATTGGTTAAGGAACGCTGAATTTATAATGTGTGGTTTGTTTGAAGATTGAGCTTTGTTTTCAGCACAATGTTTAAAACGTAGTGCTACTGCGTCGCCCTGAAGCATGGCTTCTCAAGGTAGTTACTATGATGCTTATTCTTTTTCGCTGTTTGCAAAAGTAAAACATTTGACTTGACGCCACCTGACTTTTATAAGAAGTTTGAAGACCTGGCAAAACTGATAGAGTCAGTGGTAACCTAGAAATAAAAACAACCTAATCTGCCCATTTTGATGAAAACCCTATCCATTTTGGGGAAATGGCACAAAATACCACGATCTCCCCAAGTATGGAGAAATTCCCCGAAATTTCTGAGATTCCCTTAAAATTTTCATAAGGCTTTTTAAACACTTCGGGGAAATCTGTTAATGTATATTAGCTAAAACCCCAACATTTTCCGCAATTTTGAGTGAATTCTGCAATACTTCTCGTTTCTACCCAGTGTTCCTCCAAAATTTTCAACAACTTTAAGGAAACCCAACTACTTTTTGTGACCAAACCACAATACTTTGCCGCTTTTTTGGGACACTGCACGATTTCCGGTTATCCCAAATACCGCATTCGAAAAGCAGCAAAATGACCGATAGCCATGAAAAGCTTGGCGATTTAATAATAAGCTTCCAAGAGGTTCTACCCATCTGTTCCATTTCTTTCTATTAACTTCTCAGTGAACGCAGTACCAAAGCAATTTAACTATAATTGGTAATAAGAACCACTCAGTACTGCCGTAATAAAAAGACTGATGCGTTATACATAAAAATGTTTATTAAATTCTAATAAAGAACGAATTATCTAATAATACAATTTCTTCCAGTTCTTAACAATTGATCATGTGTTTTGGATAAGTACATTAGGTTGATGTTGAACTTTTATTCACAACAATCTACCAAAAGAAAAAGGAGTTACTCTTCAGTAAACAAACAAATGTCCTGGCAATCATCCAACTTAAAGATGATCAAGAACGACCTATTTAAAGAAACGTCTGGTAGAATTTAGGTGTACTTACCTTTTATTGTCAACGGTGTGAGTTGCGTAACTTATGTTTATCTTTACTTCCAGACCATAAAACTGGTCAAAGGTATAACGTAAAAGTTTTTGATAAGTTGCTATACATCTCTAGTGGTTTCCTGGTATATGTTAGTGTACTATTAAAAGTCACCTAAGTTTAATAATTTGTACATTTGTTAGTGAATTCGTCGCTGGTAAGTTTATGCTCTGATGCCGTATATATCAATAGTCGAGTTGTTAACAAAACCCCCCCAAACGCAGGTATTTTCAACTCTTGTCTTTACCTTATCATGCAAGAGCTTGGTTATTTTGGAACTGTTAAGTATCGACTCCTTCAAATAATTTATCAAATAAGTTAGGAATTTACAAATACCCACTCACTAGTTTTTTTTATAATTCCACCTGATTTTTGAACCTCCGGTATTACCTTGGCTACCACTTGGCAGTTTACTGTAAAAGATAAGGTTTACGTTCATGGCTGTGTTGATTGTTGCGATGATGTTTGTACTAAAAATTAAAGATCTAGAATGTCTGAACATCGCATACGTACCGCTGTATCACGATGAGGGGACTCTTTAATGAAGCTGATTTTATATGAAAAGTACAGAAAATAAACTTTGATTACAAATAACCTTAATATAATGATATCCAGATTAAAGATCACTTTTGTATACTAATAGACGGGTATTCGTCGGTAATATGATCTAAACAACAATTACTTTTGATTGTATCCAAGATATTGACTTCAGTCATACTTCGAAGGCTATACAAAATCCATAGAAAACTGATCCTCAAGAAACAGGTGACTTTCGATCAGGTCGTAGACACATTGATCAAATCGTCGCCCTCTGCAAAATGTTAGAGCACTGCTACATTTGCTACAGGCGTGTTTCTTAATATCAAAACCGCTTTTAATTTGTTGGGCAACTCTCCACCTTGGATTGTTTGTTGAATAACGTAGTGGCCGTGAAGTTTCTTAACATCTTAAAGGCTCTGTACACATGCTTCAGGCATGGAAAGGGTATACAGTCACCTTTCTCCGTTCTTCTGGTCTAGCAGGGTTGCCCACATTTACCATTCTTAAACTTCGATATCGGCGACATTCTAAAAACAGTTCTTAGCATGGATCTCAAGATACTATTATTACCTGTTTTCCGTACGAAGATTTTGTTTACTGATTCCATCGTAGCACATGGTAAACAAGACTTGCAGATTTAGTAGCCACTCAGATTTGTCAAGAAATGTCAGGGACTCATCACAAATAACACTCAACAGTTAGATGTTTTCAACGCTGACACATCTGTTCGAAGTTTGTCGTAGTGGCGTTGTCCGGAAGGAAGATAAAAGCTCCGTGATTAAACCAACTAACTCACAGAACAAGACCCCACCAATATGAATAACATCATAAACCTGTTTGTTATGTTTGATAAGCCCCCAAATCCCCTGGTACGGCCGAGAGTGAGGAGAGTCCGCTCTCCCTCTCGAAATGCTCTCACATGGCCACGCGTATATAGCCCTTGCCAGGGAAGTCCTACTCACTGCCTTCTCGTGGCGGGGGTGTTGTTTACGAAAATGAGAGGACGAAAAGCGAATGTCCAGCCCTATAACCGGGTTGGTGGATATGAAGGATCCACCTAGGGGAGTTGGAAAACCCTGATTCCAAACCAATGGTGCACATGGGCTCCCGTATCCTGAAGAAACAAACGGCGAATTAACCAGTTATTGGTCACCGGCTACCATGGGACTGCATCTCCTCACGATGCTCCACTGCCTTGTGGGTTAGACCTTTAGGTCAAAGGCTCGGGGTGTGGCCCCCTAAGAAAACCACACGCTTCGGTTTGGGCACCCCAGGCAGTATCACAGCCCTCTCGCAAATAAATGAAATGTAACATTCAACTGACAATTATATTCTCGTTCATACTAGAAACAAATCAATTTGCATTATTATTATTTACCATATCGCTAATTCACCCCCTTTTATCCCCAATTTGTGTAACCTTACTTTTCAACTTATGCAGCAGCTCGCTCTTGGTGGAAAATCTGTCCTATCTAAACGATCTCCAGTCACTGTCTGGTTGAAAGTGAATGCTTCCACCGATTATGAATACTGAAGCAGTCTTTCTGAAACCATGTACGCCGTTCAAGCTGGCTTCCTTCAACGTTCGCACACTAATACAGATCAGACAACAGATAGGGTTGGCTATGTCTTTGGAAGATCTTAATGTTGACGTTTGTTGTCTATCCGAGATCCGTATTCAAGACTAGTGAAGTACTACAAATCCGCTCTCCATCTGTCGCCTCGAAAAGCTTGGTTCACGTGCGCTTATCCGGGGACCCTGTGGCATCTTCGTCTGGTCTTGCTGGCGTTGGTGTCGCAGTAAGCGCTAGAGCTGAGGCAGCACTAATCGATTGGATCCCCATTAACAGTCGGTTATGTGCTGTTAGATTAGAAAGTTCCATCAAAGTGAGAAGAAACCGGCGTGAGAAACGGTGTCTTTTCGTCATCTCCGCCTATGTCCCGACAGATTGTAGCCCGGATGCAATCAAGGATGAGTTTTACCACCAGTTAACAGTTCTCCAGAAAGCGCGTTCGACAGATATTGTAGTACTAGCCGGAGACTTGAATGCACAGGTCGGGCGTCTAGGCACAGAAGAGAGTCGTTTAGGTGGCCGATGTGGACTTGTTGGTCGCAGTACAGATAACGGGAACCGTTTGCTGCAACTGCACAGACTACAACCTGTTTCTGGCCAGCACTAACTTCCGGCATAGTCATCGCCGGTGTGCCACCTGGCATCCTCCCTCTGCATCCCAAGCCTGGACTCAGATTGATCACATCGCGATCATCTACCGCTGGCGTGGTTGTGTACAAGACTGCCGCTCCTTTTGGAGTACCTATCTGAAGTCTGATCATGCCCTGTTCTGCGCCAATCTCAATTTACTTTTCAGTGGCCGAAGGATTGACCACCACCAACGGATCGATGTTAGTAAACTGGCTGCAACTTCTGTTGCAAGTAAGTATCGAGCGGAGCTAGCCTCTAGGCTGGCTACCACCCCACCGAAAAGTATAGATGAGCATTGGTTGCATCTTCACGACGCCATGAAAATGGCGAGTAAAGCCACTTGCGGCTTTGCGAAACGTCCCGCTTACAAACACTGGGTTTCTTCTGGCTCCTTACAACTGATGGAAGCCCGTCGGTCTACTCCGGGTGACCGTGAGTTTGACCACAAACGAAGGCTGTTACGTAATGAAATCGGGCAAAGCTTGCGTAAGGACCGAGAAGCCTGGTGGTCGGAGCGTGCTAATGAGCTGGAAGCAGCAACTGCATCTGGTAACTGTCGGAAGCTCTTCCAACTCATCCGAGCCACTGGCAGCAAGAAGTCTGGTGTGAGTGAAACAATCTACGAGGATGATGGGATGCCAATCACTAACATCTCTCGACGTCTTGGACGATGGGCGGAATTTTTCGAAGGGCAGTTCAACTGGCCTGCTGCTCCGGCAACATCGATCAGATTGCCTTGCTCCCCACAACCGGTGACGACTTTTCCACCAAACGGGGCGGAAGTTCGCAAGGAACTCCAACTCTTAAAACGTTACAAATCACCGGGCCCAGATGACTTACCTCCGGCTCTTTTTAAAGATGGTGGTGACCTTCTGACTAAGGAATTGACTGTTGTTTGCAAAGGTTTGGGAGCAAGAAAGTGTTCCAACATCATGGAATGAGTCAATAGTCGTTCCCATCTTTAAAAAGGGTTCACGTTGCTTCTGTAACAACTATCGGGGGATAAGTCTACTTCCGATTGCGTCCAAATTATTGGCTTCTGTCATTCCTCGTAGGTTGTTTAAAACCCGAGAAAGATTGACTCGCGAGGAGCAGGCTGGTTTTCGTTCTGGTCGAGGATGCATTGATCATATCTTCATCCTTCGCCAAATGTTAGAACACCGTCATACTTATCGCAGGCCAACAATCGTAGTGTTTCTTGATATCAGGGCGGCCTTCGATTCGTTAGACAGGACTGTTCTCTGGGATTGTCTATTGAAGAAGGGTGTGCCTGAGAAGTTCATTAACATCTTAAAGGCCCTGTATACGAACACCTCAGGCAAAGTGAGGACATACAACCACCTTTCTCCCTTGTTTCATTCGAGCAGTGGGGTTAGGCAGGGTTGCCCAATCTCAACATTCCTCTTCAACTTTGCCATCGACGACATCCTGGAAACAGCTCTGATGGATGTAAGTAATGGCGCTGTGGATCTGTTGCCTGGAGAAAGACTTCTCGATCCTGAGTATGCGGATGATATTGTCTTACTGTGCGATAATGCCCAAGGCATGCAATCAGCACTTAATCAGTTGGCAACCAGTGTCCGCAGGTACAGTATGTGCTTTGCACCTTCAAAGTGTAAATTACTTCTACAAGACTGGCAGGATTCTCATCCTGTACTCACCCTGGATGGTGAGCAGATTGAAGTAGTTGAGAAGTTCGTGTATCTAGGTAGCTACATAAGTGCTGGTGGTGGCGTGAGTGATGAGATTGATGCACGCATAATGAAAGCCAGAGCGGCTTATGCCAATGTGGGCCATCTTTGGCGCCTTCGTGATGTTAGTCTGGCTGTAAAAAGTCGAATCTACAACGCGTCGGTGAGAGCAATTTTACTCTATGCTTGTGAAACCTGGCCTCTCCGAGTTGAGAATGTTAGACGTCTCTCCGAAGGATTGCTGACATTCAGTGGCAACACCATGTTAGTAATGCAGAGGTTCGGCATCGTGTGTTGGGGCGCAGAGACGATAATTCAATTGGTGTCACCATCTTAAAGCACCGACTTCGGTGGCTTGGACATGTTCTACAAATGTCGTCCCAGAGACTTCCACGTCGTGCATTATTTGCCGACTCTGGAACTGGTTGGAAAAAACGAAGAGGAGGTCAGTGTATTACATGGTGTCGTGGTATGAAAGAAAGCTGCAAAGGGCTAGCTTCTGTTGGTCCTTCACGACTCCCTGGTTGGGGTCCGAAAGATGGTGCCACACAGTGGCTAGAGACGTTATCAGATATGGCTCAGAATAGAAGCTAGTGGCGAGCCTGCTGTAACCTTCTTTTACTTTCTTCATAAAGAGTGGCTATAACTTTCCTAACTGAGAGAGCTCTTCTGGTTGTACATTTCAGTTTCCCCCATCATTACTCTTCTCCTTTTCTTTTCTTCCTTCTCCTCCCACTCTCATTAGTTTGTGTGCGCATATGTATCCGGTGCCCTTTGTACCAATATATACGTGATTAAATAAATAAATAAAATAATATGTTTGATAATATCCAAATGTTGACGTGTATACCAGACAACACTATAATAGCTGTTGGTGGACTAGGTTTTGCTAAAAGTATTGCTGGTAAGACTTTATCACGTTTAGACTGTTTCAAAACTCTAGGTCACTGTTCATCAAGCCGTTTGACCGTTCATGGTGAACCATGTACGAGAATATGTCAATTCTGCTTTGTACTTCAGGACTATAGAATTATGTGAGATCACATATTGCTGTTATCATCTCAAATCACGATTTTTGTCATTTCGTTTTCGTAAACAGATGTTCACATAAATGGTGCGATTGCGGAGTCTAGTACTATGTTATGTCTTCATGGGTTATTCTAGCCTTCACACAGACCAATTAATTTATTATTCTTGAGTCATATCTTGACCTTGTTGATTATTCCCCTATAACCTTGACTGTTTTCATTTAAGCGTGTGTGTATCGCTGACTCTATTCATCATGTCTTCAGCTTGTTTCTGTCTGAATATAAATGGTGAGGTACGCCACATCAAAACGAGTTGGCACGCTTGTCTGTGTTTCGCTTTCTTGCTTCTCATTTTGATGTCTGCCTGGGATCGATTCATCCAACTTAATCCATATTCGGCTTCTTATTGCCGCCGTCGCACAAACGGGGTTAGCGTAGGTGTAATATATGGAATTAAACAGATTTGCACTCATGACACATTCATTAATTACAATTGAGGTCAGGTCAATGGACCACTGAATGATCATCAAAAATAGTATGGAAAAAGCCCAGTTCTTTTCAGTAGAGTAATTTTTCAATGTTGAATTCATCAAATGTAGGTCTAAGTCTACGCTGTGTTCTTTAACCAATAGTATGAAAGAATTGTAATCTAGACTACTGTAAAACAGTTATTAGTGTTTAGTTCTTTAGTAAATTAGCGATCAGTATGCATCAGCTAACTTTTCTTTAATAACGAGAAATTCAGTTTATCATATACTACCTTGTGAACTTAAATAGCCTACTATTACTATCTAAAGTTAGATAGTCTTGAGATTCAATAATGTATTCCGACAGTTTGACTGCTAATTTTATTTTGCATTCTACCTTTTTTAGTGAGTGCTAATTCTATTCTTAAATTAAACTCATTACTACTGTTTCCTTACGTTTTAGATGACGAATTCGTTGTTCCTCATATGGATTTATCTTGTCTGCAAAATTCAATAGCATATCAGAAAGTTCTTGAAGAACCTTGGACTTACCTTCACAATTGGGATTCTCTAACTCCAAGTGTCCAACAAGAGGTGGCACAAAACTTCCTAAGTGAACTAAGCTCACTTAAAACTGAAATGGCGATTACCCAAGGCGTATTTGATCCTTCCATGTTTGTTAATCAGGATGTTTCATGTGATACAGCAGTATGTTTTGATGACAAACTCTTTTGTCTTACACAATCTCAAATATTTATTTGTTTTAACTGAAATAAAAAAACGTAGATGAGATAAGGCCTTTATGTCTTTATAGATGGTCACTGTTCTTCAGGAAAAATTCTTCCTACTTATCAAAACTGTATAAAGCTTAGATCTGTACAGCATTATAACATCCTAAAATAAATGTTTAGTGGTCATCTAGAAAGAACGCATTGAAAAAACATTGGTCAATTTCACAAATATGGTCTTATTATATTCCTCTGCCAAGATTCCGAAACATACGGATACATATAATCCTTATCAATATTATTCTTTAGCTCAAAATCAATAATTAATCAGAATAGATGGGATGTTATAACTGTAGGCTAGTCGGTTATTTCTAGTTGAATATATAAGTTACGACCTAAGTTTGCTTTCATTATTTATTTTTTTGAATATCGTATTCTGCTCTTACACAGAAAGCGTTTATTCTAAGCTATTCCGTATGTGTGAATTAAGATCTGAAAATCTTTGAGATTTTCTGTGTCACATCTAAAGCTTGAAGTTCTGAGTCCATTCAAGCTTATTCTTACAAAAGTAGCAAAGGAAAAAGATGATCAGTTGACGACATGTCGCCGTAAAATCCGTGATTTTTACGATGATTTAGTTCTTGGTGTTCGTACATCACGATTACGTCAACGAAATCCTAGAAATTATACCATTCAGTAACTTGAGTCTTTGTGAAAGGTATCCCACAATAAAATCACCAGTATTCTTAGAATACAATATCGAAACCCATCTTATGTTCTGGTTTTAGACATGAACATTGATATTATAATTATATGACTTTCCTATCTTTGTTTTGTATGTAGTATTTTTAATACGTCGTAAGATTTTGCGTTAAGAAACAGATAAAATAGAAGTAGAACTATAAGAGGAAGAGCGATGGGCCGTAATTTATTAACCATGAAGATCCACAAAGATGATGGTGGTCCAGTTTTGGAAACTAAGTTTAAACACTAGCTGTACATAATCTCATCTGACCGGCTTCTATCTCTAACCCCTCCAGTTTACACGAAAGAACAATAGTTCTGTTGTAATAACCACAGAAGAATCATTTTGATTAATATAGGATCCAACACTTAACTATGGCTCATAAAGGTCGAACGTAAAACAATCAGGCTAATTTCATACCTGGACATGGATGGATTGATCAAATGCTCATTCTTATGGTTTTGAAATCCAGGCATACTTACTGACGTCGTACTTTTATTGTATTCCTTGGTCTTGTGTCGTCGTTTAACTCTTTTGGACTAGAAGTTGTATGTCAATGTTCGCCATCGAAAAGTGTACAGAAATTGTTTGTAAACCTTGTACAGGCTCTCTACTCGAATACCATTGGTTGAGTCAAAGTTTATGGGGATTTTTTACCAGAATTGTTGACCTCAAATGATTTTTGGCAATTGTCGCTTACTGTCCAACGTTTTATTTAAATTCTTTGTATTATCCTCCCAGAATTAACGCCATTCGTCTAACTTTTTAGAGGTTGGCCTTTTACCACGAAGTTCGCTTATCGACTTGGAATATTCAGATGACTTAGTCCTATATGATAAAGACGTTGACAAAATGCAGCCTTCTGATCGCCTTGAGCAACAATGCAAACATATTGGGATATGACTCATTCTTTAAAAGTAAAACGTTATTTCAGGACTGTTCTGCATTGACCCCCTTTAGTAATCGTAGAAAATGAAGTACTTTTGCGTGTTGATCACTTGAGTTTCATCAACGCTAGCGGGTTGGTGTCTAGTTAAATCTGCACACGAATAAAAAAAGTTTGACTGCCTTTTGCTAACTTTTTGTGCAAACAAGTTCTCTGTCTTCCAGCTAAAATGCATGTAAACTGCTCTCTGCATCATTTTATAGCTATAAAACATAAAAATCGTAAGTAGAAGACATAATTAGTCTGTGAGCTTTTGATCATAGTTGTCTTACAGCCATTAGTCACGTTGTGCGGGGCTAACTATAAGAGAAAGATCCAGTTAATGTTTTTTTATCACAGGTTTGATTTATACTCCTTTTAATTCTTTCAGTTTACTGAAACCTGATACAAGTACTATGCTATTAAGTTTCCATTTTTTTAACTAGAGTAGTTAATGAGTAAAATATGACATTAGTCAGTTTCATTTATATACCCATAGATTCTAAGTTAATTATTTTTCTACTTAATATGAACAAGAATACTCAGTTGATAATTTTTCCATTCATTCATCTAGGCTTCTGGACAAAATGGTAATACAACGGAAAATCATGCAAACACCAAGTGATGTTTTGATTATTTATTTTTCTTACTGTTCTAAATAAAGTTTGCAAAAATTACAATCGTGTTTTTGTTTTTTCATTTAGTTCTAAAGACTATATAGATTGATTATGAAATATATTAGATATTTTTGAAGTTCCCATTAGAAACTCCAAGTCTTTTTCTACATCTAAAGATACTTCAAATGTTAGTACTCACTTAAATCCATAGGTTTTATTTAATAGGAAACCATGAAATCGATCATCCAACCACGATTTGGAGATAAACACATTCTTTGTACTTTATAAGTAAGTACAAAGTACAGTATGAGTACTAAAAACCGTTTATGTAAGCTTTTTCACCGATGATGTGTAACGTATTTTGATGCTATAAGTATGCACTATCAATGAAGTTTTTAATTTCAACGTATGTTTGAAGGTTTTATAAGCAATCCAGTTTTACTAATAAGAAATCGTGAAAAATTACGTATTAATTTGAACGTGATTTCCGTCTAGTTGATTCTCATATTGATTCATCGTAACTGTTGCTCACTCTATCATCGGTTTGTATTGATTACTTCAGTGTGATTTTTTCGACGACTTGACTTTTGTTCAGTATAGTATTCAATTATACTAATTCTGTGTGGCAATTGTTCATTTTGACTGTTTCTTCGATTATTCACCACTGAGTGTAATCTGTATATAGCGGAATAAATTCAAATATGGATCAGTCCTCTGGGATTTCTATCAACAAGGCGTCTAACAAGCTTGGACCTTTGTCTTTAGTCAGCATTCGAAGGAGGGAGCGATCTCCTTCATTGATATTGAAGTCCTTGGCGTAAGAGCGTCTCGAAAATTGATTATAAGGAGCAGTCTATCTATCAAAAACCATCACTCTTTATTGCCTTTTAGTCTTCTTTCAATGAAATTGTTCCAGTTACTAGAATTTGAGGGGCTCTCCTTTTTCAAAGTATTCACAGTATTTTTTGTAAATTCTGTATTAAAAGGGATTAACAGAAGTACTAAGGGTAACTGTGTTATATCCCGATAAGAATAATGAATGGTAACTTTTTGAATCCATTTATGAACCAATACTATGCGTTTATTTTTGTCGTGTAATTGTTAGATAACTAAAGTATTCATGTCCCTCTTATTGTGAGCTTTATTGTTATCAATGAACTATTATTATACGATTTACTATTCTTGAATTATGCCCTGTCTATCAATTACTATCTCCCTTATTCACAGCCACACTTGGCTAATGTTGTTTCTTACTTTATGTTACGGCGTGGTCCGTTTGCTTGGTATATAAACCCAGTGTGTTTGAAATAAATGATTCAAACCACAGAGGCTGAGATTGGTGTTCTGAACTTACCTGGCTTGGCAGGAACGATAAGTACTCTAGACTGCTCGCATGGGTCCGATCGATAAATCACTGCTCTCTAATTGGTGGTATTATCACGTTATTCATTAACAGGTCACTCAGGCCACACGTTACAACAAACTGAAATATAAATTTGTTGTAATAGTTGTCTATTTTCAGAAAGGATGGACAACTGTTATTGGTCTCAGACAAACTTTACGTGCTATCGTTTGCATAAGTAAACAGACATCCAATTGGCTTATTTTTCTCCACAATTAGAGTGTGATAATTATGCATAATTTGTTCTGTACAACTATCGTATACAATAAAATTGCCGAAAATTACTTTGTGAAATAATAAAACAGATTGATCACGTGTTACCTTATTTATTTTGACATTTTTTGATGCTTATGTTGAAAATTACATTGTTTTATTCAAAATCAAAAGTTCTTTCTGCATACAGTTACAACTCACAAATGGAAGGAAAACAGTCGAGTAGTATTTAATCCACAGACCAGTTGGTTTTATTACTGACTAAAAGAAAAAATATAATGAACTAAATTATTCCGCATTTCTATACAGTTGAAACTAATTTATGCAACTATTGATTCAATGAACATTTTTTGAAAGCCAACTGGAACTATGGTAAACTGTTTTTTTTTGATAGAGCTTGTCAGTTAACGTGCTTCAAAACACATTACATTAGATCGTGTAAACAGACTTCCTAGTTTAAATAATTTATCTAAGTAGTTAAAATCAAACTAGGAATGTGATAATCTTTAAGCTATGAATTTGTCTGAGAATATCTTAAAAATTTAATTTTTCTTACTCAGTACATTTATTATGAACAAATTGTAGCATGTTAAAGACGTTTTAGTTATTAATATTTTACTAAATCTTTAATACCCACTAAAAACATTAACAATTCTAGTGAAACTTTCCAATGCATTTAGTGGAGTCGTACAAATTTAAATGTATGATATTTTAGGGCTTGGTTCTGTGGGGGAGATTTGAGTAAACATGACGTAATAAAAAGAAGATTATGGTAGTAGGTGATATAGTGTAGAGGACTACAACTGATACAGGATGTATGTAAATAAAGAAGGGATGTGAAAATGGTAAGCTAGCATTGGATTCCAGAGGTTGAGCCCCAAAATGCCCTGCAACGGTCGAGAGTGAGGAGAGTCCACTCTCCCTCTCGAAATGCTCTCATTTGGCCACGCGTATACAGGCTCTGCCAGGGAAGTCTTACTCACTGCCTTCTCGTGGCAGGGTGTTGTTTACGAAATTGAGAGGACGAAAAGCGAATGTCCAGCGCTTTAACCGGGTTGGTGGACACGGAGGGTCCACCTAGTGGAGTTGGAAAACTGTGATGTTCAAATAAATCAATGACTTCTTGGTATTGATGACTGTTGTAATTTTGAATTATAAATACAATACATTCGTTCGGGCTCAACTAATACTTCTTGATTAAATTGCGTTATTCCTGGGATTACTAGTTTATACTACAACTCAAATACTTCTGATTATCATATTGGCGTCGCGATGGTGCCTGCGATACAACAGTTGGACATTCATTCAACTTCTGAAGCTTTTGAGGATTATCTTGAAAGGTTTGAGATATGGAGCATGACCAAGAAAGATATGAAAGGTGACAAAATTGTGGCACATTTTATTACTTTCATCGGTCAAGAAGCCTACAGTTTACTAAAAACCTTGGCATATCCAGATAAGCCGACCTCACTTCCATATTCAACGCTCAAGGGATTACTATTAAATCATGTGAAGTGCACCAGTTTTGAATGTTGTGAGAGAGCAAAATTTCATAAGATGATTCGTCAGGATAACCAGAAGGTTAAGGACTTCATACTTGAATTGCAAAGACAAGTTACCAAATGCAATTTTGGTGATCAACTTCATGTACAGCTGAGAGATCGGTTAATGGCAGGAATTAACATACCAGGTCTGGGAAAGGAGCTGTTAAAAATGCCGAACTGTTCTTTTCAAGATGCTAAAACTGCATGTATTAACTACGAAGCAGTGAATGAACTTGATATTCAATCGATGAAAATTTCTAATACTTTGCTTAGTCGTCATGATGAAATACAATCTCAGGGTCGATAAAATGTGCGTTCGTTTAATCGTGATTTCTGTTCTCGTGGAAATATGAAAGGTGATTCAACAAGGGACTGCAAAGCAAACAACAAAGGTGAGAATAAGTTTGGTAAATGCTTATCTTGTGGCAAATTTCATTCTCGTAATTCATGTGCATTTCGTAATGCTAAATGTTTTAAATGTGGCAAGATAGGACACATTCAGTCAGTATGCAAAACTACTGTCCACTTTGCTTCAAGTATTACTAAGTCTTGTAACTTAGATCCCAATAGTTCGGCTATTCTTAATGATCATTTATCCTTATCCACCACTTCGAAATGTAATGTTCATATCCAAAAGCGATTATATACATCTGTTGGTTCATTTCATGACTTTATTGTGGACACAGGTAGTATAGAGTCCATTATTTCATTCAAGAACTTGAAATCTTTAGATCCTAATGTTGTGGTAAAACCCACTGAGATCTCAATATTGGGGATTACTGGACACAGACTGCCTATACGAGGATGTTGTGAATTGCTAATAAGAAATGACAATTCTTCATATATACCTTGTGAATTTTTAGTTAGTGAAACAGGACTGTCTATACTGGGTTTAAAAAATCTGAAAAAACTTGAAGTAGAATTGTCTCTATTAGTTTCTGCAGAGAATTCTGATGCTTTACTCAAGGATTTGATAGCTGTGTGTGCTAAGTATAGTGGAGGTATGAAAATTCAGCCCATAAAACTTCAAGTACAGGGCGATCCAGTCTTTCTTAAAAGACGAATAATTCCTTATGGTCTTCGAGAAGCAGTACATAAGTCACAGAACGATTTGGGTGCGAAAGATATAATTGAACCAGTTCAGTCCTCAGCATGGGGTACTCCTATTGTTACGCCATTGAAGTCGGATGGCAAGACCCCTAGAATATGTGATGATTACAGATTAACACTGTACTCCCGTTTGTTGAAGCAAACATGCACGACGATGGAGGCTGAAGATATTCTAAATCGACTTCATGGTTCTAAAGTGTTCTCGAAAGTCGACTTGAAAGATGCTTATCTTCAAATCCCTTTAGATCAATCTTCATCTATCTTGACAAAAATTATCACCCCTTTTGGTCTGTTGAAATACAACTTCCTTCCATTTGGTCTTAGTTGTTCTCCAGCCATATTTCAGGAGGTCATGAATAAGATAGTCAGCGATATTGAAGTTTATCAAGATGATCTCATTGTTCATGGTGCTGATAAAGTAGTTCATGATCAGAGACTTATTGCTTTATTGCGTCGTTTAATTGAGAAGAATATTACAGTGAATCCGAATAAATGTTCATTTAGTGTATCTAGTTCTGAATGCTTTGGATACTTAGTTGATGGTAATGGTTTTAAACCACATATGAAACGACTAGCCCCACTGACAAATTCACCGTCTCGAAAAAATATCATAGAATTACGTTCGCTAGTGGGTGCTCTTCAGTACTATTCTCGTTTTATTCCTAATTTTTCTTGTCGTGCCAACTGTTTATTTAATATTTTGACATCCAATTCATTCAAATGGGGTGAAGAACACGAGTCATGCCTATGAAGTCTGCTAAAGTCTCTTCAAAGTGATGCTGTTCTTCGAACTTACTCACCCAGTGTACATTCTGTTCTTATTACTGATGCATCACCTGTGGGTGTTGGTGCAGTCTTGGAACAGGAAGGTCGGCCAGTTATCTGTGTTTCACGCAAACTTTCTGTTTCTAAACAAGGTTATTCACAAACACAGAGAGAAGCATTAGCCGTGTTTTTGGCTGTTAAAAGACTTCATAAATATTTATTTGGAAATAAGTTTACCATTGTTACTGATCATGAAGCTTTAAAGTTCATTTGTCATCCTGAAAAATCCTTAGCACGTTCCTCAGCTGCTATGGTTCAACGATGGGGTATTGTTTTGAGTGCTTATGACTATACGATTCAGCACAGGAGTGCAAAACAAATTCAGCACGTTGACTACATTTCTCGACAATCATTACAAGATAGACCTGTTAATACTTCAGACTGCTTGTTAGTGCAACCTTTGCCGGTGAGACGTCCATATCTCATTAGAGAAACTCGTAGATACTTTGGATGTATACTCAGTGCTATACGGAAGGGTTGGAATGCTAATCTGAAACGTAGATTTCCTGTCTATTATTCAAAGCGGGAGGAGTTATCTACTACCCCTGACGGTATTCTGTGTCTAAATGATCGTGTTGTTATTCCTCCTTCATTACACAAACCTGTCCTTAAAGATCTTCATAGTGGACATCTATGTGTTGAGAAAATGAAGTCCTTGGCGAGACTCACATGTTGGTGGTCAGAGATAAATGCAGATATATGTCGTACAGCAAACAATTGTGAGATATGTCGTAAGCTGAAAAGTCAGCCTTCGAAGTGGACTCCATGGCCAGTATCGTCTGAGGCCTGGCAGAGAATTCATGCAGACTACTGTGGTCTATTTCTTGGCAAATACTATGCACTCGTAATTATTGATTCTTTTTCTAAGTAGCCTGAAGTTTTTTTCACAACTTCACCGAATTCTGACTTCACAATTCAAGCATTAAGGAAGGTGTTTAGTCGAGAAGGAGTTCCCATGGTGTTGGTGACTGATAATGGCTCTCATTTTGCTGCAGATGCAGTCACTAATGGGTTGAATGGTATAGGGTGCAGACATCTGTTTACAGCTCCCAGGTACCCTTGTTCCAATGGTCAGGTAGAAAATTTCGTAAGAACATTGAAAATTGCTATTGATTCTATTGCTGCTTCGACATTTAATGATCTGGAGAGGGGAGTAGATACATTTCTACTTTAATATAGAAATGCTAAGCATTCTGTGACGAAAGAGACTACTACTACTACTAAGAAAACCACCTGCTCCATCAAAGCTATTAAAAGGAAGAATTCTCCGTTCGAATATGAGGTGTTTGGAGTCTGCAGAAGTTACATATTATCGTGGGAATGATCTTCGACTAGCCACGGGGATCGTGGTGAAGAATGTTGGAAAATCTATGGTGCGAATTCCGGATATCAATGACTTGACTATACATAACCGACACGTTGATCAAATACAATACCAGAATCCAGGTGAGTCTGTTCCAATTTCGGTTGTTAATTCTAATACTAATGAGTGCATTCTAGATAATACAGAGTCTACATCCAATACACCGTCGGATAGATGTAAGATGAACTTAAGAAGAAGACGAACAATCGATTACAGACACATTCCAATTCGAGCTGTGGCGGTTGTGATGTTTAAATAAATCAATGACTTCTTGGTAATGATAACTGTTGTAATTTTGAATTCTAAATGCAATACATTCGTTCGGGCTCATCTAACACTTCTTGATTAAATTGCGTTATTCCTGGGATTACTAGTTTATACTACAATTCAAATACTTTTGATTATCATAAAAACCTTGATTCCAAACCAATGGTGCACATCGGCTCCAGTATCCTGAGGTAACAAATGGCGTATGAATCAATCGTTGGTCACCGGCTTCCATGGGAATGTATCTCCTCACGATGCTCCACTGCCTTGTGGATCAGATCTTTCGGTCAAAGGCTCCGGGTGTGATCTACTAAGAAAACCACCTGCTTCAGTCTGGGCACCTGGGCAGTGTCACAGCCATCACACAAATCGAATGAGATTTGTGAGGCGCATATTTATCTGGTGCTTCCTTGTACCAATATTTATGTGTTCAAATAAATAAGCATTGGATTATAATGTGAATGGAGTAAAACAACTAGTCTGTTTTCATGTCTCATTGATTAAAGGAGTTAGTGAGATTATGTGAAATGATATTAAAAGCAAGTAAAAAATTAATGGATTATGAAAAGTGATTAGGAAGATGTGTAAATTTCCAAAAGCAAAAATATACGAAATGGGAGTGAGATTAATAGATCCAGGACAAGGGAAAGTTGATAACTTTTGTATACAAAGTTCATGTATCACCTCATTGGGGAACAAGTGTTCCGCTGTTTTAAGCAGTTACGGACGAAGAAATTTGAAGGATTCTATAAACAACTTTAAAATCATTAATGTCAAATAGTTGATTCGTCAGAGTTAATTCGGTATTCAAGGGTCAAATACTTAGCCAGTTATCCATCATACTTGTAAAACCAGGTTGAACTGTATTTTCTAACATATGTCGAAAGCAAACACTGGGAAAGGTTAAAGTACCTTGTCCTATAAAAGTAGGGGAACCGGTGGATAACTTAGAGAGGGCAGACGGAGAAGCTTTTCTTTAGAGAATACCCTAAACAATTTCTGGAGTTTGCAAGTTAGTCAAAGCTTTGGAATGGTGTAGTATTTTTTTAGCTCAGGTAGTTGATTTTGATGGAGTTTTGTTCTCTGAGCTAGATGGTTTGGTCGTGGAGTTTTCATCGTTCTTCAGAACAACATCATCAGCACAAACTTTAGATAGAGCTTTTCTGTGAAATTAGAGAACCATTTGAGAAATATCAACATTCTTAGAAAGATATGTGAATAACAGGTTAAAGCCATGAGTAAGACAAAGATAAGAAATTTTGTTTTCAAACACAGACGTCTAGCTTCATCTTATGGATAACAATATCCCTGTGATTTTAAATATTTGGAAATCAGTTAATCCTGAAGGATCTGGACAAACTTAATAAACGGTCTTAAATTCATTTGTATTGGTTGTTTGGATCGTCCCATCGATATTTAGAATTGCAGTTGATCAATTTAGTTAGTTGATAAAATTCAATTATGTGCTCAAGAAGTAAGATCATATCCTCAATGCTGTAACGTTCTCTCTCATGCATCTTGGAAATAGAACCAGTTATGTCTAATGTACATCATTCCACAGGGAAAGGTGAACTAGTCAACGTATACAAGAGTGAAGAGAAGAGGAAGATTATCTTTCAGTGGTACAGAAAATAGTTTGTTGCTGTTGACCGTAATTCAGATGCACAAAACACCTTCTTAATCTCTCCAAACAGGTAACTCTTAATTAACCAGTTGTTTGATCACTTTTCTTTTCCTAACTTAAAATAGTGACTATTTTCGAAACCGAATTTCTTCATACTTAAATTAGTTTTGTCTTAGATTGTATCATTTATCGAAGAATATTGTTTTTTTTTAACTTAATCAAGTTGAATGGTCAATTAAATAAGCAATAAGTTTGTAGATGGCGTCGAGTCTTGATGGACTATGATCACCACTACAATACGATTACGCGCCCAGAAACGACTTGGTCCCTTTGATAACTCGCAAACCAGAAGGCTTTAATTAGTCCAGATAAAGTATATTTATTGGCGATATCGTGGTATCGAAAGAATACCGAGACGTGCCAACGAGTACAGGCAAAATGGGCAGAGCGTAAGAAAGTTCGAACCAAACAAGGCGGATAGCGGAACGAGAAGTGAGTTTGATACAGTTAAGCAAGTACAGTAAAACAATCGCTGGTACAATTGGTTACAAGAATAATAATTGTTTCTATTATTCCAATCGTGTTCTTGTCGAGACAAGCCGGTCACTACAAGTTCATGCAGCAAATCTCTTAATCAATCTCTTAATTTGACTATTGTATTAGGTAAATGGTTTTACTCTGATTTCTACTTTGAATCTTCTCTGAATATTTGCATATAACACATTATCTCTACTTTAAATAGATCATGGCCCACTCTTCATGAAATTTAATGGCAAAATTTAATCTTTCAGATTTCATTAACTACTTCAATTATTAAGAACTAAGATTATAGTTTATTGAATCAGTCACAATAATTATCCCCCCTATGTTGTCCACTTCACAATACCTTTCTGGAAAAAAGTTCTTTAGATTTTTTCTGATCTTTTTATTAGGTACACTCCACCTGCATGTATTATACATATACACATACATACTTATGCAAATTTACATTTTAGAACATATAATATTTAGTTATTATTATTCATATTGTCTTCATTAGAAGTGTATATTATCATGTGCATGTAAACATGAAACAAACATTTGCATCTATTTGAGTATACCATTGAAATAATACTAAACTGTTGTCATAGTGTTTTCATTTGTCTATTTTCTTTGCGTGGGTGTTTTAACCTTGATTTAAAGGTTATCCATTTGTTTTATAATTTAAGTGTTTAACGAAAATAGAACTTGGTGCCAAATGGTAAATGAAAAAGAACGAAATATAATAAAGTTCTTTCTTTACTTTTGTAGAGAAGAAATTAATTTTATCACAACTCACAAATGGTAATTTTTTCTTAATTGTTTTATAAACTATCTTTTTTTCTAAGGATCAAGCCAATTTAGAGGAAGTTCGTGAGGAAACTGAATGGGAACAATGTTCACGTAATCCAGATGTTGCAAGATTTGTGAAAACAAGAAATTTAGTTGAAAGAAATCGACTTCAATCTTTAAGATCTCAATTAGACAAACAATTAGAATGGGAATTAAAACGACTTTCTTTAGAACGACGTGAATTTGCTGATGTTTTAGAAAATTTACGTAAACGTCATGAAAAAGTTGATCAAAGGAATGTTCGAACATTAAAAAATAATCTTAATTCAAATGTTTATATTTGTGAAAGAAATAGAAAACATGATAGATACTTGAACTCTATAAATATGAACGATATTTTACCTAAAGGATTATTTAATTCTATTACTACAAGTAATACAAGTAGTACAAATTCATCTTCTTTAACTATTCCGAAAGTAGTTTCTTCGCCGAATATAACTAAACTGCTTTACACTCGCAATAATAATAGAAATAATAATAACAGTAACAAACATTTAAATCCTATACCAACAATACATACAGAAACATCAAATTCAACGGAGAAAGTTTCAAAACCAAATATTTATCATTTATTTTATACAGATTCCGGTGAATGGATACATTTAAACAAGCCTAATTTGAATATATCAGCTCCATCGAGTGCCTCAAAATCATCTGCTTCATCAAAAGGTATGAAATATACAAAATCTTGGTCCGAAAATGAATAGATTTAAATAAGATATATGAATGTTTAGTGTGTATACATGCTTGGAATTTAATGATAACTTCACTTTATGATATACATATACATATAACAAACATCAAGAATTGCATCAATTTTGTATCGAAATACACTATTTTCTACAAATTTGGTATATGTAATTACATAGATCATTGTTTATTTTTCATTTCCATAAAATTAAAATAATAATTGGATATCAGATTTTATAATTTATACATTTGTAGAATTTCAAAAAAACAAAAAAAATTATGACTACTTTATTATATTTATGAAATAATTGAAATTAAATATATTTTTTAAATTATTCCAGAACACACATTGTGTTTAACTTTTTTAAAGTATGGATAGTCTACTTCAAAAATTTTCAAATATAACATATTTTTTCTTAGTAAAGTGTCTATGTAAGTTTTGATTAGTAACCAATTATTAGATAATATAGAAGTATACATAGATCTCAGTAATATCTTATTCAATTTATTATATGAATTATGTTTTTACTTGCTCATGTGGGGTACGTTACATAGGCCGCACAAAGCGATCACTTTCCGAATGCATCTCTTAAAAAGAGAATGTAAAAAGATAACTAGTTCGATACAAGAGCATTTAATCAATTGTAAACACATCACTCCAAAAGACTCCTTTTTTAAAATAATTATGTTTTTTAGGCAAAGATAGATAGTGGCCAGCAGTGGAATCCAGGACGCGCGTTTCGTCCTATTTAGGACTCGTTGGCTGGATGTACCTGCATTTCAGAGTTGATGTTCACTCTGGGACTCGAATCCAGTAACTTTCGCCTCAAACGCCATCGCGTTATCCACTCAGCCACTGAATCCTGATAGCCACTTGCTTGTGCAGTGGGGTGAAGTTTAAATTCACTTAGTATTGTTTGTTTGAATTTTCACATTGATGTTTAGGACTGCAACTGTTCAGTCTCTAATTGGCATATGTGCATACTGTGCGTATTACGTAGCCTTAATTTACAAGCATTGTAAGCAAAGATGGATAGTGGCTACCAGTGAAATCCAGGATGAGAAGATTCAAACAAACAATACTAAATGAAATTAATTATGTTTTTTATTATAATTACTAAATAGAATACTCTAAAAACAACTAAGAAATATTAAATAGGAAGAATAAATATTTGTAAAACCTCAGCGAATGAATTTGAAGTAAATCCAGCGTTTCGCCTGACAATATGGTCCAAGATTTTTCAAGGATATCTCCTTGAATTCATTCGCTGAGATTTTACAAATATACTATTCCTATTTAATGTATTATATCAACTCGGTGCCCAAATACTACGAAACTATTCGTTCTAATTTAGACAAAAGTTCTTATACAACTAAGAAATATTTATAAATATTCATAGTACATTGAACCTTATGCAAAAATATCAGTAATGATTAGTTAATAAATATTTATCATACTGATAAGTCTTGCTGATTGAACGCTATACTCGGACCCTAAGCTAGTCTCGTAACTCCCAAGCTCGAACTACACAGCGACATGAACACGAGAGAAAAGGCGCAAAATATACGAGAAGCACTTTACTCCAAAGGTTCATCTATGTACAGAAAATATAGGGTTTTTTATATTATTTTAAAAGTCTTTGGGTTTTCCTGAAAATTCTAGAATGCTACTAAACACAGTAGCAGAGTAGGAATCAGCCAATCAGAACCTCTACATGTGACTTTTCATTTTCGCGATATTTCTAGCAAAACTTCTAATCAAACGCTGATTGGATAAAAATGCTTCTTAATGTTTCCTGAGCTTGTCATGTCTATTGCGAGAAATTTTCAGGATCGCCCCAATGCACAATAAAACAGTTAAAAAATATCAACTTTTGAAAGAATATATATAGTCACATGCCATCGGAGTTATTTAACTTTGTATAAAAACTAGAATAGATCATGTGTGTAGTACTAAACACTACAGTTCTCAGCGCATTTTGTGCTTACAATTCTAAGCAAAAGACCAAAATGTTTGGGTGGTACACGCATTCTGAAAACAGACAATAAAGCCTTGGATCTCTGAATTGCTTCTGATGAACTATCAGTGCATCAATAGCATGGTATCCCAGACAAAAGACTTTGTTCAGAAATCATATCACAAATTTAAATTAATTTAACATTTGTAAAATAATCAGCTCCATGAACATCTACTTTTCAGAAATAAAGTCACAATTTATTGAATTAATATGCTGAATAATTCCCAGGATTAGTAAACCCAGTCAGAACGTTCAATTAAAGTTCACTTTTACAACAATGAAGTAATACTCATCGAGTAGTTGAGTTACGTAATGACTACATAGTGTCACATTGAGTGTAAAATAATATTCAGTAATTGGAAGAAAGAGTATTATAATAATCAAAGTAATTATTTGAAAAACCAAGCAATCGTTACACTGCATAATGTATGAAAAGAACTAACAAAATACTTTGATGAAAGGTCAGTAACATAAGTTAACTAAGACAAGTCTTTGGCATTTATCAAAGGGTGACTTAATTCAGAGGAATGTGCTAAAGTATACTGCGATTTGAAATGGATTTCAGTCAAGTGTTTTACAAATTATCGACATCAGGATTGTTGCGATGAATTAATCGAATAAGTTTGCTACTATCATGAATTCAACGAAAAATACCTACCTATTCGATTGTTAATTGAACTATCTTGTTTTCGTTGATTATTTTGTAATGATGAAAATTACTAGCGCTGAAATTTTAGGTGAGGCTATAATTTATGGACGACATTTGAGTGACGCTAAACTGACCTTGAGAGTGTCCACCTAGTAACTAGGACCAAATGAGGGTTATAAACCTGTGTGAGGGATTAGAATTATGATTTACAGTTGATAGTTAAAGTTAGGAATTAGATTCAGGTTTTTCATCACGAACTGACATCAGCTATAATGCCAAAACTTTATTTAGCCAAATGGATGAGTGTATCTCGCACCAAAATCCAATACCTGTTTCTTTCGTTCAAAAATTATGGTCTCGCCGTTGTTTGAATACAATTATATATCTTGTAGATTAGTTCTCGTTCACATTAAGTTAATTTATTTGTGATTACTTTTGAAGATCACTTGTAGTTATTAATTGCTATCCGTCCACACGTCCAATAGGATTGGTAAATGAAGCAGGATATAACCAATAAGTATATTTTGGCATCTTAAATATTTTGGATGGTCAATATATATATAGGGAAATTTGACAAGTGTGTAGACGTAAAGATGCAATAATAAAGGCTAGAATATTAAGCTATGTATTACAAATAAGCTTTTACATGATGTATATGAATAAGGTGTTCTGACAAGAAATTGGAAGAAACCATTGTCAAGCCTACACGAAGAGGTCCTCAGATCTTAGAAACCTAGTTAGATATTTTCGGAAAAACTATCAATAACACATGAACTTTGGGAATAATGATAACTGAAGCTCCGAATTAGATGAGTGACTTTTCAAGAGAACACTATTTTTTTACAGTGTTGCAAATACGTGTTAACTGACACAGTTTAGGTTTATTATCGTTCAGTTTACACATCCACCTTTTTTGTATATACCTAACAGAAGAACGATCGAATAAACTCCTATTGCACCATCCATTACTGAGTAACAGACCTTTTTATTGGGGTTACGAATTAGGCTTACTCAAGATGAAAGATTATGTGAGTTTGAATAATTTTCTATTATTTCAGTATCTATTACACGTGAATCTCTTGTAACTATCACGAACACATGTCATTCCTGAGTTGACTGGTTGAAGAACAGCACATATAGGAACAGTAGAGCAGAAGTTTTTCGACTGATGAAGGGAAAATAAATAGGTATTGGCGTTATGTTCATACTAAGTGCTACAATTTTATTTAGAAACAATAATTCATTATTGGTTTTGTAACTCCAAACTACAATTTCATTCAGGAAACGGGTAGTTGAATAAATTTAATCAATAATGCCAAAGAAAAAGCATTAGCGATTATTATCTGCAACCAGATAATATCCGTAACATCTAACCAGGAGAATGATGTCACGTTGAAGTTTTTCATGGTTAGAAAAATTCACTGAGTTGTCTATTAGAATGAAGACCTCCAATTGAATAAAATTTTCTTAAAACCAACTAATGGTTTTTCTGTGGAGTTACCACTGGGTTGTCTTCTGGTGGGACGCTCCATGGCTAATCTAGATAACACTGTTCTTCAATCGACAAGTGATGTTTCTCATTTTTACGAGCGATGTATAGATGACACTTTTATTATTTGTGATAAAATCAGTGATCTTGATCAAATACTGCAGTTCAACATGTCCCACCAGTCGATTAGATTCACATTATAGTCAGTAATAAACGCAGAATTCCATTTTCTTGGTGCTTTATTCGGAAGACCGGATGTTTCTTTATAAAGACAGATTTACAGGGAACCAACATGGAATGGGCAATATAAGGACTTCAAGATTGGTTTCCAGTGCTTCCAGTTTTTCAATGGTGGTCTAACACTGATCGGTTCATGATTTTAATGAAATTCAACTATTTCCACAAACCTATACTTACAATTGAGACTATAACGCCAAATTGAAGGGACCCTCACAGTACCGAAGATTTGTTCATGAGAACTGAATTCAGCAAAAATATGATCGCAGTGATCTCGTAAAGTCGACTGTCCAAATCTTTGAAGAAAACCTTTCATTCAGCTGAGTTACGAATTGCATTTCCCAGCAGATGCCTGACACAAGGATTTGTCAAGTAAAAACTGTCACTTTAGGCCACCTCACTGACTATTTACCAGTCTACTTGCTCTTGTGAAGATATTTATATTAGCTGCACAAACTTGGTCCCTTCAAACCCATATCCAAGAACTATCCAGCATGGTTATAAAAAGGTGAATACAAATCGGTCGGTAACTTGTCTGCTGGATATCTAGTAAGTTCTAGCTGTGCACCTCCACCTGATTCCTCATTCAAAATTATTCTCAAGGACAAACTGGTCCAAAAGAAAGTTTAATAAGAAATTTGTGCACAGCGGAGGCTTTGGAGACTCATCAATGCAAGCCTCATCTCAGCATGCAGGAGCGGTATGTCCAATCCATTAGTTTACCACAACCCCAACACCTTTTCATATTTTGTTAGATAATTCTTGACACGTGTTCTTTTTCTCTACTTCATCTTCCCATATTGTTCAAGTAAACAATTAACTCT